TCACTTGGAGGCTGACAATGTTGTCATTACAACAGAAAAACTGAGGCCTCTTTTCAAACTGAGGACCACTGTCCAACCTTTTCTTTTCCTGTTGCCTCAGCTCCCAGGATTTCCCTTTTCTCCTCATGAATCTAGCTGCCACCTTCCTCACTCAGGAAAAATGTGTAACCCTAGTGCCAAAATCACACGCTCTTGGACCCTCCCCCTATTCATTTTCCTTCTGCTCTTGTACACTGCATCTTTTCAAATGCTGTCCCACTGTCAACTGCCATTCCAATCCAAAAGTCATTACAACTGACAGAAATTACTACTGTGCAAGGAAAGAAGAACTGAAACAATTATTCCTGTTCCTATCACCTGCTCCTATCCTATCTGTATTGTTGTACAGAATATGTGCTTCTGAGCAACAGTAGGAGCTCAAAAAATGTGTCCAGGGCAAGAATATGCAGTCAACCCAGGTATGAACCCCGGCATCCCATATGGTTCCCTGAGCCTAACCAGAACGGGATCCCTGAATGCAGAGCCAGAAGTAAGCTCTGAGCACCACTGGGTATGGATGCCAAAAGAAGTGTCCCCTAAACAAAATCTCTTGTTTGCTTTTTAGGGGGTCACACTAGAAGTGCTTGAAGGCTACTCCTGGCTCAGTGCCCAGGTTTTGATCCTTGGCAGTTCTCACAGAGTGACATGGTACTGAGGGTTGAACGTGGGATTCTTGTACACACAGGATGTGCTCAGCCAATCAAAATTTCCCCAACCCTCAAAACTCTTTTTCATAATTGAGGCCACACACAATAAAGCTGAGGAATAGCCTGAGTCACTCCTGTTGATGCTCAGTCCAGTGTAAGGGTCTGACATTTTAGACCTTCATATGTGGTGCATGGGGACCACTAGGGCCTCACCTGCAGTGCTGGGGGACCACAGGGCCAGGAAATGACCCAAGTTCTCACACCTGCTAGGCAGCTATTCCACTTGAAGTATCTCCCCAATCAGCCTAACAAAAACTCCTAAAGCTGTTTCCCAGAGTTTTGCATATGCATGGTAATTTTGTATTTTATGTACTCAAGGACTGGATAGAATTTCTATAGGGTAACCTGGGAATTTCACTCTCAGGTATGATTTTTGTAAGAAAGTAGTATTAGGAGTGGCAAGCAACTTTCTTTTCTTTTTTTAAAAATACATTTATTTTTTATAGACTTCACAATATTTATTATATTCAATATTCCAATACCAATCCCACCACCATTATACCTTCCCACCAGCATTATTTTGAATTTTCCCACCACCACACAAGTCTGCCCCAAAAGCACTGTAGCACTGTCCTCTCGTTGTTCACTGATTTGCTCGAGCAGGCCCAGTAACATCTCCATTGTGAGATTTTTTGTTAGCTTTTGGCATATTGAATATGTCACTTGCTAGTCTTTGCCGTGTGGGCGGGATACTCTCGGTAGCTTGCAGGGCTTTCCGAGAGGGAAAGAGGAATCAAACCCAGGTCATCCGCGTGCCAGACAAATGCCCTACCTGCTGTGCTATTGCTCCAGTCTGCCCCAAAAGCAGGTCTTAAAATATTAATTTTGTATTGCTGTGGTATAAAAACATATAACACTAAAAATGATCCAAAAAAGTTTCCTTAGAGGAAAGTGTGTGAAGATCGTTATCTCACCCTGAAGCCATTAAGTCCTTGTATAACAGATAACTTGAGCCTGCTTGGGCAAATCGATGAATAACAACAGTGACGGTGATAGATAACAGATAACTAACATGTTGTTACAGGTTGAGCTTTGTGTGTTAATCTTTTTTTTTTTTAAATAATGTAGGATTACTGTATTTGTTCAGCCATTGATTAAGCTGATTGAATTGGGCATGAACTCCACATTACTTTTTTATTTTATTGTATCACCATGAGATAGAGTAACAAAGCTCTCATGTTTGAGATTCAGCCATACAATGATGGAACACCCAATCCCTCCATCAGTGCACATTTTCCACCACCAATGTCCCAAGTATAAGGTTCCCCCACCCCTCCACCCCAGGTATACACTGAAGTCCTCACCCTGCCTCTATGGCAGACAATTTCCCCAATACTCTCCTCTAATTTTGGGCATTAATTTTGCTCAAATTTTCCCACCACCATCCAAGCCTACCTGCCAGGGCAGACGCTAGGTAATATATTTTCCATAGCTCATTTAGAATATCACAAGAGCTTGCACGGCTGTGATTATAAATGTAAATTTCTAGATTGTAAATGGTTGGGTTCCAGAGACATCTCGGTATGGCACTAATCCATTTTGGGATTCAATTGGGAGTCTCTGGGCCAGGGCTGTTGGTGTGCTAAGATGGCGTCTGGAGGCAAAGTTTGGGCGTGACAGCCAGTCTTCTGGGTGGGCGGGGAACAGGGAGGGAAAGCCCGGGTCCTCTACCACCATGTGGCCTAGAGATTTAGTCCTGAACCCGCATGCCTGGGTCTTGCTTGTGGAAGCTCTTGGTCACTGGGATTCCATCTGGAGTAGGTGGGGAGACTGCACCTGCTCCATCTGGGGTGTCCTGGTGATACTGGTTTGGTATGGGGCCCAGAGAGATCTCTGGTGCTGTGGTACCTTTTGGCACTTGCCTCTGTGTCTCTAGGCCAGGGCAGTTGGTGTGCTAAGATCCACATTACAAAAGTTTCAGCAGATTATGTCTTGGTGAGGTCCATCCTGAGACAGTGGAGTCAGGCATGGGGTATGGCAGCAATTTTGGATTGTGGAAGCAAGAGGCTGCCGGGGACACTGACTGGGCAGGCACAGGCCAACCAGTCCCCTCCAATTTACTCTGGTCTGTTCAGCCATGTATGGGTCCAAGCATAACTGCGGCTTTTGATCTCTTCAAGGTTTATTTAGGGGTCTCTAAGGCAAAGCCAATAGTAGAGCTTACAGAGTGGTGCTGGAGTTGTTTTGTGGAGGTGACTGCCAGTATTTCCATGTGTATTGGGAAGCAGGAGAGGTAGCCCATCCCAACTCTGAGTGAGCTTGTATAGCTGAGCTGGAGGTGATTTGTAGGTGTGACTCCCACACACCTAACTTCTGGCCGTTTAATTTCTTGGTAAACTTGTTCCCAAGTTGTTGGGATCTGGCCAAAGGCACAGCAGCAATTTTGGGGTATTAGGAAGCCTGAAGGCAACATCAGGCTGCTGATGCCCTCGCCCCACTGGTTGTTAATCTTTTTTTTTTTCTTTTTTGCTTTTTGGGTCACACCTGGCGATGCACAGGGGTTACTCCTGGCTCTGCACTCAGGAATTACTCCTGGCGGTGCTTGGGGAACATATATATGAATGACATATAAACACAAACACATAAGGAGAACGATGGCAAGTCAGGGAGACAGTTTGTACACAGGAGACCTAAATTCAATTTCTGGGGCCCCACAGTTCCCTGCAACCAACGAGTTTGGAGCAGCACCATGTGCACTGCTAGCTGGGACCCAAATCCTGCCCCCTACAAGGAAAGTAAGTTACCCAAGTGATATCTTTATTTTTCTGGGATATACATATACATCTCCCTTATCCTCATTCTTGGACATCAGTCTCCCGAGACCAATTCCCAAGTAGACTTAACTGAGAAGAGGATTCAATAATGTGAAGTATAAATGCAACGATAAGACCCAAGGATCAAGAAAAGTGTTTAGGAAAGAATATAAGACACATGAAGAGTTGACTATGGAAAAAGTAACCCACTCATTTTAGAGGACATCCTCCTGAGAAAACAAAGGCATGGGGCTGTAACTCACACTGCTGTGAGCTGTGGAGTGGGTAAGAGTTCCTCTCCTTCAGAAAGGATGTTCAGCAGTGTGCTGAGAAAAGGGAAAGAAGCCAGAACAGAAAGGGGGCGGGGGCGGATGGCATCCTCTAAGCCCATGCTCTCCCCTGAACAGGGGTCTCACTTGATAGTCTCTGTTTCTTTGCTGGCTATTTCCACTCTGGAGAAGCCTATCTTCGCTCTTGAACACATACTTCTCAATTTCTCTCCCTCATAAAGTTTCAATAATAACTATCTATATCTAAATAAGTTTCAATAACAAACATTTGATTCACCAAAAAAAAAAAAGAAGGAAGGAAGGAAGGAAGGAAGGAAGGAAGGAAAGAAGGAAGGAAGGAAGGAAGGAAAGAAGGAAGGACGGAAGGAAGGGACCGAAGGAGGGAGGGAAGGAAGTAGCCAGAGGTACAGCAGGTAGTACAGCAGGTAGTACTTGCCTTGCTGCCTTGCATATGGCCAACCTGGGTTTAATCCCCAGTACCCCATATGGTCAATATGATGGAACCAGAGTCCCCCAAGCCCTGCCAGGAATGATCCTCAAGTAAAGAGATTGGAGTAGCTCTGACAATTGCCACAGGTGGTTAAAAAACAAAAACAAACAAAATCAGAAAATCTTTAGGGGCAAGCAAGTAGGACCTAAGAAAAGCTACAGCTGATGTTTATGAAAGGATCTTTTTTTTTTTAAAAATTTTTATTTATTTATTTTTTTACAGTTGTAGATTTACAATTTTTTTTGTGCTTGGGTTTCAATTATACAATGCTCAGATACCCATCCCTCCACCAGTGCCCGTTTTTCACCACCATGGATAATATCCCTCCCACCCCCATCCCCCCATCCCCCCCTGCCTCTGTGGCAGGACAATCCCCTGTGTTCTCTCTCTCCGTTTGGGTGTTGTGGTCTGCAAAAGAGGCATTGAGTGGCAAACATGTTCAGTCCATAGTCTACTTATGAAAGGATCTTGCCTGCTGAGCTTGGAGCTCCAGTCTGATAGTTCTTGTTACAAGGAGGACAAACAATATAAACAGAGGAGGTCTGTCATGGCACTGCATATTTTGACCATCACTGAGAGGTAGCAAGTTCTTGCTACTGTATCTGGTACTTCAATATAATATTTAACATTGAAATTTAAAGTGAGGAAGGATACCTGGAGAAAATAAAAGCAATGAAGAAGGAGAAAGAATAAGCCCTCTGTTCTCCCCAGGGTGACTCACCTCATAGAACAGCCCTTCTGGGAACTGCTGGAAGCACTGAGCACACACGAAGCACTGCTCATGGTACAGCTCCCCGTTACTGTTCACGATCTTCTCAGCAGCCGCAAAGCCCCCTTTACAGCGCTCACAGGAGGCATTGGCCAGCGCATTGGCCATGTTGCTGTTGAACAAGGAAAGTGAGTTAGACTGCTTTTTCTTAGATTCAAAACCAAACATATGTTTTGCTTTTGGGAACACACCTGGTGGCGCTCAGGGGCCTGTGAGGTGCTGGGGCTAGAAGCTGAACCTGGCCTGTGAGTGTGCTACAGTCCTTAGAGCCACCTCTCCAGCACTGTTTTTCTTTGCTCGAGTATCTCACAATCTGAAAGGGCCTCTTGCTTTGCATTTCTTTTGAACATTCTCATAGTCTCCTCAGTAAACAGACAATGAGTAAGACTCTATTACCCACCAGGAAGTAGGGTGAGAGGAAGTTGAGCTGCGCCGTAGGGGCTGGAGAACTTGATGGGCTGAAGGTCAGGCTGTGATGCATGCTTCACTGCATGGGCCCCAGAATACAGGGAGCCACTTCTGAGCAAAGTTGGCAGCGGCCCCCGAGCACCACCAGCTATGGCAAAGACTTTCGAGCTTTCTAAACTGTTTCATTAAAGTAACCCCAAGTCTTGGCTGAGAGATAGCACAGGGGTTAAGGTGCTGCCTCACATGTGCTACATGGTCCCATGAACACCACTGGGTGCCGCTCCTAAGAATAGACCCAGGAGTGGCCCCAGCACTGCTTGGTGCAACCCACTGTCTCCCCAAATCTACTAGTCCAATTTCAAAGCCAACGTCTGGGGACCAGGTATTGATAAGGACCAAACCAGGGTTGACACATGAGCAGTTCTCTTTAACACTGTGTTTCATATACAATATAGGCAGTTGGTGGCAACTTGGAATTAGCGTACCATACTGAAAAAAGTAAGCCAGAGACAGAAGGACAAACACAGGATGATCCTACTTGTCTGTGGTATAGAGTAACATACCAGAGATATGGACTATAAAAATTGATAATAAGCCTCAAATACTAAAGAACAGACCTAGAGTGCCAGGTTAGGTAGGAGGACATGAGAGGAATAATAGGCTGCTTAAGGAGCTGGTCAGAAGCACATGGGTGGTGCTTAGGTAACAGCATGTACCAAAGCCATAACTGTCAATGAACACATAATGGGAATGGGGTGGGAGAACGCTGAACTGGAGCAAACAAAGGGAAGGGGCCAGGGAAGGAATCATGGGTACTGCACTGAGGGGGGCCAAGCAGTAAATCTGTATGTATACAATATCAGGAACTTGAAAACTGCTGTAACCCTCTCAACTACAATTGGGAAAAAGTTTAAAAACAACAAAAACAACAGTGCATGTCTATAACTGAGCAGGCAATAGTGACTTCAGTCTGTTTCTCATTCCCTTTTTTTAGTATTTTTTTTTTTTTATTATATTGAATCACCATGAGAGAGAGCATTACAAAGCTGTTCATGACCGGGTTTCAGTCATACAATGTTCCAACACTCATTCCTCCACCAGTATAATTTCCCAGCACCAATGTCCCCAGTCCATCCATCCATCTGCCCATCGTCCGTCCGTCTCTCCCTCCCTCTCTCCGTTGGTCTCTCTCTCTCTCTCGCTATCTCTCTCTCTCTCTCTCTCTCTCTCTCTCTCATTTTAGGCATTATGCTTTGCAATACAGATGCTGAAGTTTATCATGTCTATCCCTTTACCTACTTTCAACACTCAGTTCTTGGAGTGTAGTTAAGATAGAGGAGGGTCCACTATGACAACACTGGAAATGATCACTCCCCATTCCCTTTTGGCTCTTGTCCTGCCTCTCAATCTTAAGAAAACGTTCTTCAGCACTCTGTGAAAGTTGAAATAGGTCTAGATATGGATGGAACCAAGGAAGAAAAAACAATAGGCTCTCTGAGAACTCTCCTGAAGCTTCTCAGGGTCAAGAAGGCCGTGGGCTGAGCCAACACCAACCCTCTGAAAAGATTCCTGAAGTTTATAAAAGCCTTTCTTCCAAATGATGCACTTCCCATATTGTTTTTCTAATTTATTTTTCCAACCAGCCCTATAGATAAGCCACTAACATCAGCCTGTAGTAAGATGGATTTTAGGGACAAGTACACCATTGTCTCAGCTAGCTAGCACTTGAATCGAACTCCCTCCCCCCTTCATACTAACTCTTGACTCATCAAGCAGGAACTCTCAAAAATGGGTTTGGTTATCATGTCCAATTGAATGCCATGTCCTGGAATAGAGAAAGGTTATCTCACTGGTTAGTTCCCTTTTAAGCAGGCAGAAAGGGAGCACCTGACGAATTAATAAAATCAGGAGGTGATTTAAAGTTAAACTGTCACCAGTCCTAAAGCAGTCCCAAAAGTATGAAGGACAGATGTTTTTTGTGGACACAGAACTGGAATTGATAAGATGAAATGGAGTAAGGTGGAGAAAGGTGGATCCCACACCCCCTACAAATGAGAGGTTACCCCCAGACAGCAACAAAGGCTGTGTAAGAATGTGAAAGAGGACCTAGGGTTCAGAGCACTTCCCTGTAACAAAATCCTGATTAACCCTGATGTCAACAGGTTAACTCCAGGCCAAAGAAAGTTAGAGAAAATCCATACAAAACATAGTTTAGACTCCATTCCAGAGAGGACTGTGTTCTTATTCTTTTCCTCTTCTTCCTTCCCTTTTCTTTCTCCCTCCCCTCTTTTCTCTCCCTCCCTTCTCTGCCTCCTCTCCACCTCCCACCACAACTAGCAGTGCTTAGAGATTATTCTGGTGCTGTGGGTTAATCCCACGCAATGCAAGTGCCTGAAGCCTGGTTCTATCTCTCGAACCACCCTCTCCCTCCCCTGCCTGATTATTATTTTTTTTGTTTTGTTTTGAATTCTGAGCAATATAGAGTTGTGTTCAGGGATTACTGCTGGCTCTGTACTGGGGATGGAACCAGAGTTAGCAACAAGGAAGGCAAATACCAGTACTATCCCTCAGCCCTCATAATCCCTGTTTATACCACACAACTCGTACAAACTCCTAAAATACTCTCTGCAAGAGTAGCACCATAGCACTGTCCTCCAGTTGTTCATCCATCTGCTCGAGTAGGCACCAGTAATGTCTCCATTGTGAGACTTGATGTTACTGTTTTTGGCATATCGAATACACCACGGGGAGCTTGCCAGACAGCCATGTAGGCGTGATACTCTTAGTAGCTTGCTGGGCTCTCTGAGAGGGATGGAGGAACCAAACCTGGGTTGACTGCGTGCACGGCAAACACCCTACTGGCTATGCTATCGCTCCAGCCCCTCTGCAAGAACAGACAATGGATTTGGACACCTCATGTAGGTCAGGATTGATAATCAGCTAATTAATCATTTTCAAATATTCCCTAAACTTAACAAACTGCACTGTCTAAAGGCCTCAGAGGAGATGGACCAATATGAAGAATGATCATTGACCTTCACAATTTGACGAGTTTATTTTCAGACTTCTACTCAAAGCACAAGCTTTCCATGTGTCTGTCCACTGGTGCAACTGCTGACTAAAGTTACCACGAACATTCTTCCCAATCTTTAAAACTGTTTTATGAGGTAGGTAAGATGAAGAGTCTCCATTTTACTGACAACTGCTTAGTCCGAGATCAAAGTCTGTCTTTTTTTTTTTCTTTTTGGGTCACACCTGGCGATGCAAGGGTTACTCCTGGCTCATGAACTCAGAAATTACTCCTGGCGGTGCTCAGGGGACCATATGGGATGCTGGGAATCGAACCCAGGTCAGCCACGTACAAGGCATATGCCCTACCAGCTGTACTATCACTCCAGGCTCAGCCTAAGTCTTATTGTTTTCTTAGCATTTTTGTTTTACCTTCACCTTTCCTCAATAGAAACAACTTTCCCTTCTTTTCCCTAATAGCAATCCCTTGCCACAATTTACTCTAAGATGTACAATATTCACTACCCATACTAATAAAATTCAACTTCCCTTATTAAGTTGGAAATAGAATTAAAAATGTTCCCCCAATTTTATATTGGACATTTTAGGCACTGTGATTTACACTAATGATAGCAGAGTTTTATGCAAAAACTGTTCAACACCACACCCTGCACCAGAGTATCTCCTTCCCTCCACCATGGACAGTGGCACCCTCCATCCTACCCACATACCTACACTGACGCTTCCTGTTCAAGCAGTTCTCCATTTCTGCTGCCTTTGCGTGTTTGCTGTTTCTTCCTCCTCTTTCCCACACACGAGGGAGATTATCTGTACCTATCTCTCTCCTTCTAACTTCACTCAGCACAATGCTCTACAGATTTACCCAGGGAGCTGCAAACTGTATGACTGCTTATAGCTGAGTAGCATTTCACTGTGTGCATGTACCAGTTTCTTTAGCCAGTATTCTGTTCTTGGACCTGCTCACTGTTTCCAGATTTTGGTTAGTGTGAATAGTACTGTGGACTGATGAATAAACATAGGAGTGAATATGTCTATTTTGAAGAGTTTTTGGGTTCTTGGGAGTAAATGCCAACAAGCGGAATTGCTGGATCATGAGGAAAATCAGTTTTTTAGTTTTTAAATTTATTTTTATTTTTTATTGAGTTCACTGTGAGATACACAGTTGCAATGTTGCTCATGATTGGGTTTGAGTCATACAATGTTCCAACACCCATCACTCTATCTGTGTACATTTCGCACCACCAATGTACCTAGCTCCCTTACTGCCATCCCCTACCCCCAGTCTGCCTCTATGGCAGGGAATTCTCCCCCTCCCTCCCTCCTCCTCTTCTTTTGATCATTATGTAGTAACACAGTTACTAAATTATGTAGTAACACAGATATTATGGGGTTATCATGTTTGTTCCTTTACCTACTTTAGCTCCCAGTTCTTATCCAGAGTGATCATTTCCAAATATCTTTGTTATAGTGGTCCCTTCTCTATTCTAACTACCTTTTCCCAAGCACTTGAGGCAAGTGTTCCCAACCGTGGACCAGTCCTCCTGGCCCTTGTTTCTACTGTCCTTGGGTATTAGTCTCATATTATGGTTTTTTTTTTTTTACATCCCACAAGTGTGTGCGATCATTCTATGACTGTTTTTTAAAAAAGTCCATATTGTTTCCTAAAAAGGTAGG